TGCACAGATGTGGACTCAGTTTAACAGACACTGATAAAAGATATAAATTTGACATATTGCGATGGTTTATATGTCCAATCATCAATTTCGAGTAATAGTGTGTGTGTGTAAGAGTTAAGCAACCTGATAAATCGTATCATATAACCACGAAAAAAACAGAGATAGACAAACGAGTATGAAAAACGAGAAGACAAAGCATGTGGCCGCCTTTGTGCAGGGCATCCACCTGTAGAATATAACAAACAGGATATTCACCTGAGCCTGCAAGTCACCGTAGTCTAATTGCAACTAAGTGTCTACATTTTTCTCTTTTTAATGTGGCTTTTAAAATTTTTACTCTTCCTTTAAGTTGAAAGCCACACAATTGGAAATACACACACACCGCAACGGGCCATATTAACCATCATTTTACTCGACAGTATTCGGTATCTGTCAGCCCCTAGCCGAGAAGTTGGAATAGATATCCCATAATCAAGTTTGAAGGTGGATTCTTCATCGGCTTTCGTTACGTTCTCGGCTGATCACTTAGTCATTTTTTCAAACTTCTGTTAACAACAAGCATGACTAGTGATCGTTGGGATATTCGAATGCATAACTTGTCTTGACTGACGAATTGAAACCAGTTCCAGAAAATCTAGGTTATCCAGACTTTTGAGTGAACCTGATCGTTGCATGTTTTTTTTCACAAAATACGTAGACATCGGTTTTCAAAATGCTCCCACCAATCAAACAGGTCGCAAGAATATCTGACGGGCCGGTGATAGACAAGAGGATATGAGGGGTACTGAGATAATCAAAACACATTTGACTAAGCTGGGAACTAGCTTATTTGACCCTAATCTGTCCCTCAACATAACATAGGAAACATAATTAAAAGTTTTGACGCAGTTCATATAGAGGGAATGCCTCCATGACTGTTACAATCATCACACGTCATTCGAAAGTCGGAGAGACAGTGAATTTCCCAGGGATGCGGGAGCCTTGTGGTTGTTAGATCGCAGAGAACAGAAGTCCATCATTTCACGTGCATAGCATCTGTGATCAGCGCTGATGCGTTGTGACAGCTAAGGTTAACGATTCTCTAATCTCTGATTCCTTGGGTTAAGGAACAAAGGTTGGCATAATAGTACAGAGCTGCTAGGTGGCCAAACTGAAATTCGAAGTGCTTCAGTCAGCGCTCCACGCCTTTCGGTAGACTGTTTTCACGTGTATCATTTGTTTCGCTTATAGTTCAGTTAACATCTTCCTGCTTGATACAATCTATGTTGACGGGAAGGAGCACATTCACACCACCATTGATTGCGACCTGCTTTAAGTTCCTTCAGGGAAATACACTCAGTTGGACACCGATTCGGCTTTGACAGGAGACCCCCCTTGAACCCAAATGAATCTCCCGTTTACGATGTTCTTAATCAACTTGAGTTCAATTAGAATTGGAAATTGACGGAAATTCGGGAACTGCGCCTACATGACAAGTCCCAAAAAGAGCGAAACCAGTCGTGGGCTGTCGAAGAGCTTTCACCAAGCTTATGAGTGGTGTATTACGTCCATCTGTGATGTCTTAGAAGCAAGAACTAGCCACTGCCGCTTGTTTTCAGCACCAGTTTCGTGTTTCTGAGCATATTACAGTTTAGGAGTTTGTCCAGGACTCGAGGAACTTACACTGATGTTGAGTTCGTGCTGGTGACTTGAAGGTGCTGCTGAGTCAGAAAATCGAATTTAATTTATGTATTTCGATCCAATGGTTAGACGTCGAATTTTGTGCACACCAAGACGCGATCAGTGTGAAACAAAGAGGTTAGCGGGAGGGGGCGATTCAGAACACACTTGTGCTGTCTGTTGCAACGTGGCAACGTAGTCCATTTGTTTCCCTGTCTGTGTGCGTGAAGTGCAGTGACGAATCGGGTGGCAAAATTAAATACCAACAATTTGCGATGCGGCCATAAACGCAAAAGTACGTTTACATTAACAGACTAGGAGGAAATAATGGCAAAATAACCATCTAGACGCGCCATTCGCATCGCTCGTCGCTCCATTCAAGCAGCACCGGTGGCCGGTCGAACACGATTAGGCTGTCTCTGTGCCTTGTCTAAACTTGCACTCTTTGGTTCAATGATTTTAATTGAAGATCGGACACACATGCCCCATCAAGACACCATCATCGAACATCTGAGCTCTTCATAATGAGCCACATGGCCAAACCAGAATCTATAGCACCCAGGCAGAACCACCGACACCTGTTCCGGCTACGTATTTACCACAAGTGTTTAGAGAGAAGCTTCCTCCTATCAACGACCTAAGGATGGACCCTGAGACATACAGCAAATTTCCACTCGGAGAACTGTGCATCTGGGTGTCGAAGCATTGTTGAAAAATAGAAACGGTGTTGATTTTTTGCTTCCGTATGCACAACGCAATCACTGGATAATGCTATAATAGGGGCTAAAGACACATCCCGCAGAAAGCCACTGCAGGCTAACGTAAGAATGTCCACAGAGGAATACGCAGGAACACATTATATTCTAAACAAGCGGTCAGATTGATTTTATTGAACCATTTACTAGACAGATTACACAACGCCACGTGGGGTCGATACCATCTGGTAGAAAGCCAATTACTAAACCGTTAAAGCTTGTTTCACAGTACGCAGAACTGAAAAAGAGCCATGTGACGCGCACTACTATTGCTGGGAGATGGTCAACCCTATTGGTGTATATATGCTTAAAGTCTTGGATAAGTTGAGCGACCGAGTCCCGGAACACATACTTTTTTCAGGAGACTGTTCAACCCTTTCCACCTAGAAGTATATCATCCGCAGGGTTTACTCTATAGTACATCCGGCATAAGACAACCAAAAATATCTATTCCTCCCAGCGTTCAAACTGATTGTTTGTCCGGACCCGTTATTTTAGTTGCGTCTATATCAAGATCCGATACACACACAATAGTCCATGAACTCTTGATTCACGGCCCATTGAACTCATTTTTGCATCGGCTGCTTGTGCAGTCCAGAAATCTCTATAACCTGAGGTTTGCATGCGTTTTATTTACCTGTTCCTAATAACGTGGTACAGCAATTTATTCGTAAGTCTGAAAATGTCACTCTTCCTGGCTTCTGCCTTCTACGGCAAAAACCAAACCTTGTTTTTATTCTCAGCTGGCGGGCGACCTTGAAAAACAGCGAAGTATGGGGTGATTCAACGGGTGATGTTTTGAAGGACACAGAGAAAAGTGAAGCACAGATCACACTATGCTGACTCATGCATTTGATTAGTTCTTGTGCGAATCACATAAAACAACCGGACAATTCTGTGTATGGAAATAACGCGTAGAGGCTGCACAGAAGTTCGCAGTGCGATTGCTTCAAAAAATTATGGGAAGTTTATGTAGTGTGGTTCCATTCGCTTGGTTGTTTTTGGAAAGGTGAGCGAATTGGGACTGCTCGGTACTTTTGCGTTAACAGCACCTATTACAACAACCATTAATACGTTGGGTTGGAACGCTGAGTGTCAGGATTTCAATACCCGACATAGCGAAAGATACGCAGAATTAAACACAATAGGAACAATACTCCGGGGCGGTAATCAGTTAGAGGGGGATCTATTGAAAATGACACTCTCATACTTATTCAGAACAAACATCAACAAGTTCACAATATGTGGTTCAGTTTTCCTGTGCTGCGGGACTGACTAGCTATGCGGGTAGTTGTCAGTGGACTGCATATTTTTTTTATTAGGTGTAGCTCCACGATGAGACAACCTGTGGTGGGATCGAGTGAGACGCTTAGAGACGCATTTCTAGAGCAAATCACAAGGTTATCCATAAAAGCATGCTAGAATTGGGACAAGGTGCCTGGTTAGAAAGGCTCGATTCTGACTGGCCCATATTCTGGAGAAACAGTGAATATAACCTGCTTCGTAGACGGTTCGTCAAATCGTCGTCTGTTTGATGCAACGCTAAGGCGGCGTGCTTCCCGCAAGGAATTCGTAGCTCCCTTCAGGAACTCTCTCTGGGAGACCACTGCAGTTGGATACATCCGGGCTGCCTGGCACATCATGACCATCGTTCCAAGCATTGAATTTTCCAATAAATCGGCTCAGTAATCCCATCCTAACATAACGAAAAGTGTATAGATAGTTGCGGAATAAAAGGATTGCCTACTTTATATTGCTGACCAAATCACAAGCGTGCCACGCAAGTTGGAGAAAACTAGCGTTAATATTATTAAGAAACTCTAAGAATAACAAGCCCAGGTATTGTTGAATAAAAAGCACTGGGTCTTTCAGTCAACAACACTTCGTACTCACCGAGTACCTTTGGAAATTGAATGTGACCCCGATCATGATCAATTAAATTACCACCAACTGTAAACCGTGTACATGTGCATTGTTTATATCCGTCAGTTTTGCTTGCCGAAAAACTGAGAAAATAGAGGCGAATAGCTAAGCAATGGAGGCAGCGGGTGGATACAACGACACGTGGATCCAAGTGACAGTGGGATTTTCACTCGGGGGATCGGGAGGGGAAACTATACATTGAATGTATCAGCGTTGATGACTGTGCGACATCGAGCGCGTGACTAAACCATGTCTGTCACTGTATCTGTCCCGCCTTTGGCCTACGATCCAGGGTGATGGAAATGAAGAGTGAAGCCGAGATTTTACGAAAAAATTATGAGATCCACGGTGATGGTTGCACGTCCTAACAACCAGTTTTGCACTATGAACGGGAAACATTGCCCTTTCGTGTACATGACGCGCACCGACTAGTCGCATCTTGGAAACCGATGTTTTCGGAGTACAACGAGTGTTAAGTCGCAACAGGGTTTTAGCGATGACACCATTCGTCACAGTAAAGGGCTCAGATCGCCTACCTTAAATAAGCTGAAATGGCTCGGGAACCTTCCGCGCATTCACTCCGCAGTATCCTCGCCACCGTGCCTTGGTGTGCGTATGCTTGTAGTGGAATGAGGCCACAAAGGAGTGAGCAGACAACATAGCATGTATGAAAGAAGAGAACTAAGACGAGACAATCTACCATTGGTCTACTGTGACTTTGTACCAGTATCCACGACCGACACTACCGTTGTAAATCTGTTAAGACTATGCATTGACCTTAACAAACCTCAACTTCTACAAAAAAGCGAAGTGGAGCAAATCGTTGGGCGCCAACTTACGAGAAGTCAGACGAACAGAAGACCCGATTGGCGTAAGTGAATGCTGCAACTCCAATGTGAAGGCTTCCGCATTAATCGAACTTGTTGTCGGCAGAATAGCAATCGTTCTCAGATTCGACATAGTTGTCCTACTGGGCTGTGGAACCGCAGAATCGGTCTTCGGAGCTGTACCTAAGACACTGTAGTCAATCGAATCAGAAAGTGTTGGTGACCGAAAGGTGAGACCAAGCTGAGGGGCGTCACTCCTCTGGGCGGTTAGGTTGCCCAGTAGTCGACCAGAAAGCAACTGAATAATACGATTCAATACTCTTGGAACCTTATGCTTGAGATAGTGTAGTAGGAATGCTGGGATTTGAGCAACCTCAGAATCACTGAAAGGAGAAAATAACAGAAAGAGATAGCGATGCATAGAAGCTGGACGACAATGAATGTTCGGCTATCGACCCTAGCACATGATTACGGCTTGCACCACGTGTGTCAAGAATGACAACCCACCTGGTGAGATCATATGATTAAGCAACGCTATAGATCAGCAGATGAAAATTTGTTTTTATCGGTACTAAACGCCGATGAGCACGTGTACGACTTTAGCTGCATCAGCCGGTATCAGTCGTCAAATGTTGGGTAAAATGATTGACTTCCAGTCGCACACAATTCCGATGGATTGAATCAGCCTAGAGGTCATGCCAGTTTTATCGACTGAAACGTTTTATTTTCTCAAAAACTTTCAAAATCTGTTCGGTTTGGATATGCTGAAGATACAATAACAGTGCCAAACAAACAGGCCATTTATCTTAGGACCGTGGAAGAAATGATCAGCTATCTACTTCAGGCCAAGATTACTCACCGAATTCAAACTGTAAGTGTGCCAACAACATAGATAACTACACTTGACCCTCGAAATTAGGGACAACCTGCAGACCCGGGGAAGATGATGTAGATCGACATCCAGTGCTACACTCATTTCAATGTTTTCATGCTACCAACTGCACATGGCTAGAGCGCAAGTTTACTGACCACAAGATCCGTGGTTCGAATCTGCACATCGACTTCTCCTGTCTAGGATTGGGAAACTTAGCAGTATCCCAACCCCCGTACTTTCTCCGGGTGGTATAGCGCCTAAACACCAAAAGGGTGTTACAGGTGGACGATTTTTTTAACACTTTTTTCTACCTTTCAGTTATTGATCTTCAACATTAAATCCGCCTACTTAGTACTTAACTTAGGCTGTTTGCCGCGACAGCATTTGTATCGTCTTGCTCCTAACACCTTGTGGACTTTAACGAAAATGGCAAGCCTTCATCAATTCACCTACCTGTTTATAACTGGAAACTTCAGATGAGCAGCATGTGCTTTTTTGTCTTACCCAAGACAGAAGGAAAGTTATTTGGTCGTAAATGTAGCGTATATGTCACTCAGTGGGACAAAAACAACGATACAAGGGACGATGAGACGAAATACGGACTGAGATGCCAAGATTGAGCGACGTAGCTGGGCTCAAGCTTACATGTTTCACGGATGATGACATGTTCATGGAATATGGTCAGTCTAGGATCAATCCGACAGTAAGACAGCTTTCAAGCAGTCCATAAGAGGCAATCCGTGACGGGTACGCGACCAACAGGGTTGTGAACAGCAAGTGGCTTGACCACATTAAATAAACAGTAGCCGGGTACATGGAGTACGGTGGATGAAGCAGGGCTTCTTGTCTACAAGCACGATCTCAAGCTAGGGCGGACGAATGGACTCCTTATGCAGTTAGCTGTGCATAGTATAGTTGCGGTCAGTAAGTGAACAGGAACGAGCAGTGGTGGCCATACCACTGCAGATCGCCCACAAAAAGTCACAAAAATGATGGCATCATGATCCCGTGACCTTCATATAGTCCATGAATGAACCGTGTTGGATTTATCGCACAACTGGTTGTTGACGACCTGAGGATAGATTTTACTCGGCTCCCACTGGCTTTTCCTCAGAAGTGAGACTTAATTTGGTTTGCGTTTCAAAAATGGCAGAGCAAATCGAACCACCATAGAGCTTATCAACATATGCTATCATAAGGTGATCTGGACAGACTTCCAGAAACTGTGTGGACTGCGGTCGTAATCGCCGCAACCAAGATTGCTGGTTCCGAGATCCACTCGGTTGTCTTCCGGGTCAAATACTCCAACCAGATGTTTCGCGTCTGATCTCTCGAGTTAATCCTCAACTTCAGCTTGGGCGATCTGATACTACCTCGTCCTCTAAAAGCCCCTGGACAAAACTCCACTATCCTCCACAAAATAATGGTATCTAACATTTGGATGTCGTTAATTGAAATACTTCTGGACTACACCCAACCAGTCTGATTTATTGGTTGACTTAAACGCAATCCGAAAACTGAAGGCGTACATTAAGAGGTAAAAAGAAGGTATGGATGCAGTGAACTGTGGCTTCAATGGTACGGTAGGCAGCTCACTAGCCTGCTGGTATAGAAGACAGAAACATTCCGCAACGCCCACGAACCGCCGCAGCACCGGATGACAAGAGAAGAAACGTCCCAGGGGACGTGTATAAGTGACCGGTGACCGAAACTATAGCAGCTAGAGCCAACGAGCTCTGGTAGTAATAGTAATAATAATAATGGTTCATCCGTAGCACCGCTTTCGTGCCTAGCTGTCAAGTCACCCGAAGAAAACACCAAGGTCGAGATACTGCCAGGTTGTCCAAGCCTAGACAGAAGTCCAGATGCAGATCATCTTGAACCACGGACCTTCCGGTTAGTAAGTTTGCACCTTAACCTTTGAGCTATCTCGGGCTCTCGTGCATGGTTTTTAGCTGATACACTGGATTAACCTGATATCAAGATCATTCTTATAAGCTACGAGCTTGCGAGTGTAGTGACTAGCATAACAAACCGTCCAACAGAAAGAGGGTAGTCATGTTAATTCTAATTCATAAGCGGCTGATGGTTAAGCTTGTTTGATTCAGGAGTTTTCGCGAGTGCAACCGTGAGGTTCAATACGGATCGAACGGTTAGGACTAAACACACTATCAAGGTCTCATTTCCATTTGCGGCTGCTAGCAGGAAACAAAGTTCAGTCGAATTTACACACCAATAAAAAGAACGAGACAAACTTTAGGAATGTTGACAAGATTGCAGAAAGCCTATCACAAAGATATCTTTTCGCCCATGTCTCAGTCGATTGAACCTCCGGATAAAATGTTGTTGTTATACGGCTATCGTCACCGATGAAGACATTCAATATACCATCAAATAAATAGTAGCTAAGTACGTGAGTCTCGACCAGAAGATGAAGACCATCGACCATAAAAGCGGGTTGTTGATAACGACTGTTTAGGAAAGGCATTGGAAACTCAGAGTCGGTTATCGCTAAGCCTCATGACAAACACACGCATATGCGAATGCATATTTCAGTGATTTTTTTTTCAACAATTGCATACAATGGTCATAGTAATATCAAGGCGTTTTTTGGCAATCAACCGTAAAGAAATCCCCTTTGAATCCCGAAATGAATCCAAGTGTTCCGCCTGGAAACGGTTATAATCCAGCCAGCGCCCAATTTCTATGCCTGAGTTCATGCCAAGGTAAGGGAATAAGACAAATATATAATCTACACCCCTAATCCACAAGATGCAAGCCGGCCTACCTGACTCGAGAAGTGATCTCGCCCTCAACCAGTATGCTGAGACCAGTCAAAGTCGACTGGCTTGTTTGCCATCATGGGACCTTAATTCGATCCCATTTAATCTTGCAGTGGCATTTAACACGACACGACCCACACAAGAAGCTCATTCCATAGAAACACTTAAGCTACCTAAAGTATATTGTTATCCTGAAGGATACAAAACCAAAGAGCAATACAGTCCACATATTCACTGCGTATGAACAAACACCCGGGAAGTATTTCACCCCCAAAGCGGAAAGCAAAATTTCAATCAACATGTCGGTAACAAAGGTAAAGAGGAATAAGAAGAGACAGTGACCTTGTCGCATACACTGATCTGACCAATCAGTTCAAGTCATCGCTTACTGTAGACATGTAGATGCCGACATGGGTATCATATTTGGCCGGATATCGCAGGAATTACCCATGATTGTCACTTATCAAACTTGGCATTTTTAGCCCTTTTTACTAACTACCGCCTGAAAAAAATAATACATTTCAGGTTCTCATCAGGAGGACCAATATGCGCGTCTCGTGCTTCATACGGATACAAGTAGACTGACCAATACACAAAAGAATCAATAGAAAAGACTTTAACTTACCGAATGGCAATCACAGTATGCAACCGCTTCTGTGAGCAAATCACCTCCAAAAATCCGACCATATCTCCACGACCCGATTCGCCAATGATGCGGTGACCGCCGTCAGAGAGAGTGTCCACCTGTCGCAACCTTCCACTTAGTACAATGTAGACGTGATTGGATGCATCGCCCTTCCTGAACGCAAATGAACGAACAAACAAGGGAATTTATCATGGTGCCCAAGCGAATCTGTTTCATGTTAAACATGACCACAGGTGCTTAGATCTCCAAAGTGACGTCTAGATAAATGCAACCCCCTAAAAAGACTAATTTAGGGTTTTTCAGTTTGGTCAACTTTTTCAAGATGTGGAATTCGGCCTCCTTGGACTGAAGATACCCCAACACTCTAGGTGTAATCACCGTTGCCTATGGATGATAGTAGCCGAGGGTTAACAATCTTCACCGCTTCGAGAATAGGTTAGGTTCTGAGGATATCGTTGCAACGATTCTATAAACTCATTCCTGGATGGAAGTTGAGAGAAAATGAGCAGATCACGAGACGACATCGTGAAGATGATAAATATCTTGACAGTGAGGCTATTCTCGGTTGCAGTATCTCGATTTCCTGGCTGGAAATAATAGATAAATGAGATTTCAGTATACATGATCCAGAACCACCCTCAGCGGCGGCATAATTCAACACATTGATGACTATCACCCTTTCTAGCCGTTTTATTGTTGTGTACACTGTTGTGTGCGTTCGTCTGGCGTAGTTAATAAACACTAAAACGGGTCGGACTCTTTCACGTGACACTAAAATGTTCTTCTGGAGTCGATGCAGTTTAGCTTATACGACAATGCTGCGCACGCATGGTATCACTGTAGCACCGTAACTCGTAGACAAACACGGATTAAACGTAATGAGACTGCAGAATGCAGAATGCAATGCACGACAAATCAAAACTAATCGAGTTACAGCTTATCACAGTTGTTAATGCTGCAAAAGAACAGTCGTGGGTGACAGAAAGTCCTCGCCATCGTTCACGTCAGTACAATCACCCTAGGCTATAGGAAACCTACATGTTTGCCACCGAATTTCCTTGGTCTGGGTTGCAGGCGTGTCTTGTTTCTATTGCTATCCCATATCTAGTCGGCATGTATTGCGATACAGTACGCTGCATTATTTATTGTACTGTACCTTAATGGAATACTGTAATTTGTTGCATTGTACTGTATTCGACCGAATATATTTTCTTGCCTATTCCTATCTTCAAAAAGGGTACGCCGGCGCTGTGTGAAAACCACCGTGGCATTAGCCTGGAAGCAGTGGCATCGAACGCCAATTCCCACGGACCTGTGAAGGCCTACGCGAAGCTCCCGTCAGAGTTCACTTCATCAACTGGTTTCAAATACTGTTGTCCTCTCTCGCCTTTCCTCTTCAATTTCGTCATCCATACTATTTTGGCGGACTCACTATCAGCTTCTAATGCCCGTGCGGTCGAACTGATTCCGAGTCATCCGCTCACATATATCGGACGACACTGCTCTTCCTGGATCTGACGCCGTGGTAATGCGAACGATACTAAGTAATCTAAATAATTCTGTCTCACAGTTCGACATGCGCTTCACACCTGCAAAGTATAACGTGCTGCTTGAACCCTGATCCCATGCTTCCGGATGACCCGATTGAGGCATTAGACGAATTTGTCTACCTTGGTAGCTGTATCGATCCCGGTGGTCTCGCAACAGATGATACTTCCATCCGGCCAGTGCAGCATTCGCCAACTTGCATCGCCTGCGACGTCAAGCTTACAATGCTACGGTGCGTTCCATATTATTATATCGTTCAGGAACCTGGTCTCTGTGCACCGAGAACGTCAAGAGTTTTAGTGTTTGACAATTGATGTTTTCGGAGCATTGCCCGAGTCTAGTAGGAAACCCGGATCAGCAATGCTGAAATACGTCGAATGGTTTTCGGAAAATCGACTCACTAACGATAAATGATCTGATCACATGCCATGTGTTGCTTGGTCATGTGCCCCGTGTGCCAATCGACCGAATTCCTCGAAGGGCTCTCTTCCCATAACCATGTGAAGGGTGGAAAGGAGCCAAGGAGTCCAACAATGGCTTAGCAGCGAAGCCAGTACCAGCAAGCTCAGCCGCGCTGGTCATCGCCATTTCTGTGGATGGGAACCCCGAGACGGGACACATCATAGTTAGAGTCATTGGCAGAAATAGCCCAGTTGCGTCCTCAATGGCCCTCGTCCATCCAAGTTATTGCCCTTAATGCAAAGCTCCTCTCCCAATCACCCCAATTAAAAGTCCAGTGACACATTTGTATTTACACATCAATCGTATCGTCTATCACCTCCAAAGTGCAGCTGTTTATACCATCCCTCAAATCATCGATGAACAAAACTGTGGCAGGTATAACCACTGTATGGCAAGGACGTGGTTCTTACAGTTTTAAAGCTAAAATTCAACAAGCTGATTAATTCCAACGTCATCCGCTGAATACGTGTACTGAAAATGCTGTCTGGCAGATCAGATAACTGACACATCAAGCAATTGATTTCCAAGCGGAATCCTGGCCGATTTATGACATAAAACAGTCAATGTTTTCACAGTGCAAACCGATTAACTGAATGGAATGAAAGAACCATCAACCGGAAGTCGCGAGGTACACACAGGAACACTTTATCCAGAAAGAAACAACGTCAAACACGAGTAGATCGACGATTGGGTTAAGTAAGATGACTTACTTGTAAAGGGCACGCCCGGCCAGAACCGTCAGCCACTGAATTGCGATATCGAGCTGATGCAGGACCGGTGAAATCCGCGCACATATCAGACGAACCACGATAAGTAATGTTTCTGGATTCTGGCGTACCATTGCATAGAAGTGCTCGCGAGACAGGGTGGCCACAATTGAGTTCTTGACTACCCTCAACTCGTACCCATTAGGCTCTCCAGTGACGAGCCCAAGTAAGCCAAGGACGTCACCTGGACGACCAATTATGAGGTCACTAGACTGTCAAGAGAAAAAAATGCGCTATTCACCCAAGCCTCAAAGACAAATAAATATGTAATTAAAAATTCTCGTGGTCGGGTTAAAAGAGGTTTCGCCACATGGATCCTTAGAATCTCGTCTGAATCACCCGGATTGGCTTAGAAGAATCGAACACAACATGAGGGCAATGTTGTTCTCGGGATCAAGTACGACTCATACACTAATAGCTGGTAGACATCTCCATACCAACCTATCTCTTTGGTTATAATGTGTGGACAGTAGTGCGCACTTGATGGGTAACCTACATGGTGAAATTCGGTCGGTAAAGGTACATACGACCAGAAAAAAGCACGAAAAATAAAATACTATCCAAATGGATCAAACAGTGGGCCACTGACCGATAGGAACCGTTAATCTATGGGCCGATGTGATATGGCGAACCAGTAGAGTCCTGTTGTGTCTGTTCGATGGACATTGTACCTTAATAGTAACGGCATACAAAATCTACAGTCCTTATCCCATCGATTTTTGATCCATTCCCTTATTAGTATGAACATCTAATTTCGCCACACTGATGTGGTGGTAGTTATTTAGTGGACAAAAAATCAACCGAAAGCGATGCTTCAAAGTATGGTTAAACTAGAATATCTCGTTCAGTGGTGTCTAAAGAGAATCACGATCATGGTCAAGCTAGGTTTACAAAAATAGTTTTCTGGTCAAACGGTCAGGCGAATCTGATTGAACATGACCGACTTAACCCAGCAAGTCTTTTGCACATTTCTTTTTCGAGAACGGAGGTGTTCCCTGTGACGGAATAGTCCGAGTGGAGGTGCGATAGTGGATAACTAGCCCTCTCTTAATCTTAACCTGAGAAGCAATGAAAGTATTAGTCATGACTATAGCTGCGTTTGTTGTCGAAGGTTGACCAAAGGTGGTCGGTATAGCGGAGTGGCTGCCGTCGGGAGAGACACTGTAGAAAGGTTTTACACCAAGTAACCGCTTGAAACGGGCCCGCTGACAACATTGTATCATGATAAATTATGGCCCAATAGTTATAACAATGCTAACAGACGGTCACTAAAAGGCACAACCACCAACCCACCGCTACGCACAACTACGCTCCCCAACAACGCACTGATGATGTCACCTCGATTGGTGATGAAACGTTTGCTATCAAACCGCCCAGCTCAGCGGACAAGCCAACGACCATCTACATTATCTGAGCTATCAACATTTACCACCATAGAATGAAATAATTTTGTTTCAACCTTTAGGCGGTTATTTTTCATAACCAAAGAAGTCACACAAATGAGGCAAAGCCCAAAATCGACAAAGTGGAGGGGAATATACAGGCCTGGGACTCAAAGATCATCCACGTACCTCTTTTCTCGCTCGTACAAGTACCCCTTCAGGAGTACCAACAAACTGTAAGACGTGAACTGGGATCAAGGTTTCGAACAATGGGACGGTAGTTTGACCGAGCATGGTCAATTGTGAATTGCGGAATAAAAGATGAAGACGAAGGTGAGGCATCGGAAGTTGTCAATAGTGAAAAATGGCCAGGAAAGAATAGCAAGGCCAGTAATTTCAGAGTGAGCATGACGCTAACCCAACTCACCGAAACATCATTTAAAAATGCTGACTTACATCATCGGTTTCTGCGTCTGTCGCCGACTGAAATCCATGTAATTCGCCTGACACGATGTAATACAGTTCTGTCTGGATGGTGCACGCTTCTAACAGCACAGTTCCACTGGGTACGCTACCAACAAACACATGACCCTGCAGGAAACTAGAGTCGGCCAAACCAAACAACCCAACAATATCCTCCATTACCGCCTCAACCAACTGTGATTCCGTCTCTTTACTAAGAACAAAACCGGGTTCTGTTGAAGAAGGTGGAGAGGCGGATTGGTTCTTTTCTGCGACACCCAACGAACCGACAGGAATCTGGTCAATCTGTGTCGGACCGAGTGACCTCAAGTGTTCAGTAAACGGCATCGAGGTCGTGCTGGTGGATGTCACTGCGCTCGGTAGAAAAGCTGGTTTGTCCTTCGCTAACAAAGAGGGTACTTCACCCGATTCCAATCCTCCGCGAACCAGCCGATTAGGATGATCATGAAGTTGGTCTGCTTCGGAATCGAAGTCGTCAATAATCTTCCCTCGAGTGTCTACTTCCATGCAAACGCTATCCATCGGGTGGAGTGATCCACGGCTCTTGAGGAATACGGTCTTGAGGTCTGCAAGGTCCGAAACCGAAACGAACGGTGATAGCATCATAAAAAACTTTGTGCTATCCCCAAGGTGAAATGCACAGAAGACGAAACAATGATAGTGCCAGGAGGGAAAGATGGCAAGACCTTTAAAATAGCACTGAAAACAGCATTAAATAGTATGATTTTATATATTCTGCAGACTGTCGAAATGAAGGCCACAAAACCTTAAAGTCGTTTGGATAACAGAAGCGATTCTGGTAGCTTAAAAACACCAGAATTTTCTGAAAACATACAGGGACAACGGACCAGTTCTGAAAATAATATTCTGATGAATTCTGTGGTATGACCGCTGGAAGTCCTTGAAAAATCCGGCAAAATTTTTTAGAAACTAATCCTCACAAAATAGCCATATATTTTCGATACAAATAATACAAATTTGAAGAGGAGTCACTCTTCTGAAGTGTCTACGACATTTCCCGCAAGCCACGAATTGATGGGCGATCCTACAGAATAGGCCAAATTAGTGGCGGTCCCTTGTGTGAATCATTGAAAACAGAGTCATGGACGTTACCTGAAACGAAGTAGACCTAACATATTTAACAACAGCGTTGAAACAACCATCCTTGATTAATCAAGCACCGATCTAAAGCAGTCACCTCGCCATGAAGGTCCGACTTCAGTGTGGCAGTGATGCTGTGGACTACAGTGACTAGAACACAGCTCCTTCGGTTTCAGCCATGTCAGAATGGCCAACAATAGGTAACCTACGAAAGGCAGCAAGTTCCTGTACTACGAGAAGTTGTGCTACGGAGGGCTGTCGAGGGGTTTTCAGCAACCTTGAGTAGTGTACTACGAATATGGTGACAACACGCTTAGTCGGCGAGCTGAACCACCTCCTCGTGGTGCCGACCGGGTAGCCTGGACGTCTGTCTGGGTGAGCTAAGAGTTCAGCAACTCCAGACAGGGC